ATGTGGTCGTGTGTGGAGGTACCGGTGTGTGATAGACAGGGTGATGATAGGTACGTGTGATAAAGGGTACAGTGTGAGGGAAGGTACAGGTGTGATTTGGTACAGTGTGATGTAGGACAGATGTGAGGGTGGTACAGTGGATGATGGGTACGGGTGCGTGTAGGTACGTGTGGTGTAGGAACAGTGGGGTGATAGGTACAAGGTTTTTAGGTACAGTGCGTGGTAGGTACAGTGTGTGGTAGGCACAGGTGTGATGGTGGTACAGGTGTGTTGGGGGTAAGTGTGATGATAGGTACAGTGTGATGATATGTACAGGTGTGATGGTGGGTACAGGTTGATGGAGGTACAGGTGTGAGATGGGGACAGTGGGATGATAGTACAGTGGTGATAGATACAGTGCGATGATAGGTAAGGCGTGTGATAGGTAAGTGTGATGATGGTACAGTGTGAGATAGGTACAGTGTGTGATGGTAAGTTTGATAATAGGTACAGTGTGATGATAGGAAAGGGTGATATAGGACAGTGGATGATAGTACAGTGTGATATAGGTGATTTTTGGTACAGGTGTTTATGGGTGAATAGGTCATTTTGGATGATAGGTGATATAGGTACAGTGTGATGATAGGTACAGGTGTAGAAGGTACAGTGTGATGGAGGTACAGTTTGATATAGGAAAGTATGATGATAGGTACGGGTTGATGATAGTCGGCGAGATAGGTACAGTGTGATGATAGGTACAGTGTGTTGATAGGTACGTATGATGATAGATACTTGTGATGATATGTACAGGTGTGTGGTGGTACGGTTGTGACGGGTAGAGTGTGATGATAGGTACAGTGTGATGATAGAAAAGTATGTTTAAGGTACAGGTGTAAAGATGGTACAGTAGATGATGGGTAAGGTGGTGTTAGGTACAGTGTGATGATGGTACTTGTGAGTTTGGTACAGTGTGTGATAGGTCAGTGTGAGGGAAAGGTACAGGTGTGATGATAGGTACAGTGTGTGATAGGACAGTTGATATAGGTACAGTATGAGATAGGCAGTGTGTGAAATGTATAGGTGTGAGGTGGGTACAGGTTGAAAAAGGTACAGTGTGTGATGGGTACAGTGTGATGTAATCAGTATGATGATGGGTTTACAGGTGTGATGTAGGTACAGTATGATGATGGGTAAGGTGTGATGATAGGTACAGTGTGATATGGGTACAGTGTGATGTTAGGACAGTGTGATGATAGGTTCAGTGTGTTGTAGGTGAGTTTGTTAGGTACAGGTGAGATGGTACGGTGTGGATAGGACATTTTTGATGAAGGTACAGTGTATGATAGGTCAGTGTGATGTTTCCTACAGTGTGATAAGGTCAGGGTGATGGTAGGAAAGGTGATGGTAGGTCTGGTGAGATGGTCGGGTGTGATGAAGGTAAGGTGATGTAGGTACATGTGAGGGAAAGGGTACGGGGTGTGATGATAGGTACAGTGTTGTATAGGTACAGATGTGAGGGTGGTACAGTGTGGATAGGTACGGTGGGGGATAAAGGTCAGTGTATGACGGTACAGTGTGTATAGTTAAAATTTGTGATTAAGGTACAGTGTGAGATAGGTGCAGTGTGTGTGATACGTGTGATGATAGGTACGTGTGATGAAAGGTACGGTGTAATGGTAGGTACGTGTGTGTAGGTACAGTGTGAGATATGTACAGGGGGTTAGGTAGGTCAAGTGTGATGGTAGGTACGGTTTGTGAGATAGGTACGTGGGATGATAGTACTGTGTAATAGTACAGTGTGATGTGGTACAGTGTGATGATAGGTAGATTGTGATATAGGTACAGTGTGAGATGGTACAGGTGTGAGATAGGACAGTTTGATGTAGGTACAGTGTGTGAAAAGGTATGCGATGATGGTGAAAATGTGATGATAGGTACAGTTGATGAAAGGTAAGGTGTAAAAGGTAAAATCGATGAAGGTACAGTGTAGGGTAGGTACAGTGTGATGAAGGTACAGTTTGATGATAGGTACAGTGTGTGTAGGTACATGTGATGATGGTGCAGTGTATGATAGATACGTGTGTGTGGGGTACAGTGTGATGAAGGTAAAAGGTGATGTAGTACAGTGTGATGTAGGACGGGTGTGATGATGGGTGCAGTGTGATGATAGGTACAGGGTGATGATGGTACAGGCGTGATGTGGAAAGGTGTGATGATGGGCGTGTGTATAGTTACAGTTGTATAGGTACATTTGGTATAGGTACAGTGTGTGATAGGTATAGTGTGATGATGGTAAAGGTGTGTGTAGGTACGGGTGTGAGTGGGTACGTGGATGTGTTACAGTGTGATGATAGGTACGTGTATGAAGGACAGTGTGTGTGGGATAGTGTGATAATAGGTACAGGTGTGATAATAGGTACAGTGTGATGTTAGGTACAGTGTGATGATAGGTACAGTGTGATGATAGGTACAGTGTGATGATAGGTACAGTGTGATGATAGGTACAGTGTGATGATAGGTACGTGTGATTTGGGTAAGGTATGATGGGTAAAATTGATGAAGTACAGTGTGATGATAGGTACAGTGTGATGATAGGTACAGTGTGATGATAGGTACAGTGTGATGATAGGTACAGTGTGATGATAGGTACAGTGTGATGATAGGTACAGGTTTGTGATAGGATAGTGTGATAAGGACAGGGTGATAATGGGTAAGTGTGTGTTGGGTACAGTGTGATGATGGTAGGGGGTTTGTGATGATAGGTCAGTGTGATGATGGTACATGTGATAAAGGTAAGTGTGATGATAGGTACAGTGGGGATGCGGGTACAGTGTGATGTTGGGTTTACGTGTGAGATGGGTACGTGTGATGAAGGTACAGTGGAGATAGGTAAAAGTGACGTGTTTTTTTTTTTTAATTCCCCTACTGATTTACTTCTGTGAGCGGTATTTAAACCCACTGATAAAGAACCAAACCCTTTAAAAACCCAGTATACTAACACCCCCTGGGTGGGGCCTACAACATCACTAATCCCCAGGTACCTAATTACTGTAGGTGATAACAAGAAGTGTAACCAACTTTCCTGGCGAGCCACTCGTGTGGGACAGACCAGGTCCCTCAGTTGTGAGCTAAAGGTGTTCCCAAGTCGAGGCAAAAGTGTTAGGTGAAGGTCTGTGTATACAGGGTGTATAAACGGGTAAAAGTGTGAAAAACGGGTACGGTGTGTAAAAAAGGGTACGGTTGTATAACAGGATACGGTTTCTAAAAAATTAAAAGAGACGTTGTTGATACTCCTTTCAGCATTTCTTTTTTTTAAAACGACAAATTTGGTGTTGACTCAACTTTCACAAAACATTTTGATTATGTCAACCTGAAACCCTCAGGATTATATTATCGTTTATTAGAATATAAAACTCCATATTATGAACCTAAACCTCTATATCAGAGGACACTTTTCATGTGCTGCGCAATGTTGTTGTGTTTACTGTGTTCAAGACTAGATTCTCAGCGTAAAAATTATGTAATTTACGGAATATATTAGAAACACAAAGACGCTTTTTCATTTCTCGCTCCGGTAATTACCAATGATTTTTCGGATTTCCGAAGCAACGAATAACGCGATGGAAATGAAGCTTTGGTCATTCCACGGTGAGGTTTCAAAAGACTCGTGAGGAAACACTAGGACATATCTAACTCACCGAACGGAGTGGGATTCGAACCCATGGCAAGCCAGTTCTATAACTAGCAGGCCAGTGCGTTACCCACCGCACTATGCTGACTTAACACGGTGTTTTGTCAACACACTGGGAAGGTTAGCATGGGCCACCACTCTCCTGTTAACTACAATATAAATAACAGTAGAGAGGTTAGATTTTCTAGAAATACATAAATCATCATAATTTTGAATAAAACTTCTTCTCTGTTTACAGAGAATGTAACACCATTTCTGTGGCAAACTCTAGCTCATGTTCCTTTCTGAGACGTTTTCTATTCGCGTATAAATATTTGTGACAATAATAATAATAATAATAATAATAATAATAATAATAATAATAATAATAATTTTTATTTTTGCAAGTACATGTTTTTTGACTTCCGGTAAAAATAATGTGCAGCATAATGTTTGTATTTCCAGGATCAATCTTTACAAAATTTTTTACTTAAAGGCTTTTATTCTGGTTACAGACCTGGACACGGGGGGGGGCGCTGAGCCCCGAAACCCTCTCCAGTTATATTCCAGGTATATTCCAGGTATCTACAAGTGCTGAGATACGATCATTAAGGCACAGAAGTGGCTCATAAGGGGAGGGATGATGACTTTACAATAGGAGAGATAATCTGCTTATAATTGCGAGCATTATCATGATAATCGATACTTCTGAAACAATAATCAGATGGTCTGGAAGATAATTAACGATAGGCACTATTGCATTTCCAGAAGGAAAGATTCCGTCTCACTCAAGACAGGACAGGACAGGCAATTACAAAAAATGACTGGCCGAGGCAGTTACACACACAAAATGTCAGACGTAGATAGAAAAAGATAAGTTATGTCGGACTTAGATAAATAAAAAATCTGAAAGTCAGTTAGAGGTGTTGTGTATAAGTCGCCAACAGAAACACACAGTTGACTGAGGTTTCACAATGATTTACGTCTTTAGATAACTTACGTAGAGTTTAGACGTTACGTTATGTATTATCTAGCTATTATGTACTTAGATATTTAGGTATTAGGATCAGCAGTGCGTGAAAAGTTATTTATGTTAGGTATAAAGACACATGGGCAACTAATGGGACATTTTACTTTGGCAACGTTTCGCTCTGCAGGAGCTTTGTCAAGCCGATGCAAACAATACACAGGACGGATCGAAATATCGTCTAGTTTCGCTCCCCATTTTTTGACTTAATAGTGCATGATTTTGCTGTGTGTAAAGGAGATTAATATAATATTGCCATGTCAGGTAAAAGACGGTAATAATGGAGTGATGTCAGTGATGTACAGAGTCGTTGTTTACCCACAGAGTTGAAGGATCCGCCTGAAGTCTGCCGCTGTGCTGACTTCAGTATCTTCTGTGAATCTCGCTTCCTGACTCGCGTGCCGTCACCACTACCTGAGGCTGCTCGCTACCTGTATGTTAACACTGTAATCTTCAGCATATTCTCTTATAGTGAATCTGAACTTCGTTCAATCGTGAATCTAACAACTTCAACCTGTACTGTTACGGGCTTGAACCGCCATCCGTGTGGACGTGGCCTTACTTTGACTTGGACTCTGATAGGAGGATTCTCTGCTGTCAAAGACTTTGTTTCACAATTTATATGTTGAACTGTTACATGTGTCACATATGTGTGTCACTGTCTTCATGTCACTACCTTCATGTCAGTACAACATGAAGTATTATCCTCCTAAATTTTACGTGTCCGACTCACCTGACACCTGACTCACCGTGCATCGAACACAATGCCCCTCTCCCACCTTACCCTTCCTACCATAGCCTGTGTGTGCCCAGCCGGCTGCCCCTGCTTCACCCTAACCCCCCTGCTACACCGTTCCCCTCCCTTTGCCATGGGCGTGTACAGGATATAAACTTTCAAGCAATGGATTTATTGTATGGGAACTCCCTGTGATTTTATTAAACAACTTTTATCCAAAATATCCTCAAGGCTTTTGATAAAAAATCTGTCTCTCAGGGGTGGATTGAGCTGCACTTTCATAAGATAAAGATAAAATATATGGTCAAGATAGTTAAATACATAGTGATGAATAAATCTAGTGCTAATTGTAAACTCTTATCTCCAGAGAAGATAATCCGGCCAGAAAGCTGGCCGTCTCCCACCGAGGCAGGGTGACCCGAAAAAGAAAAACTTTCGTCATTATTCACACTATCATGGTCTTCCCAGAGGCGTGCGAATACTACAATTCAGATGCCCCTCCTAACGGGAAATATTCCTAACCTTTCCTATAAAGTACAGGCGCTGTACTTCCCACCTTCAGGACTCAAGTCCGGGTGAATCCCCTGAATCCCTTCACAAAATATTACCTTGCTCACACTCCAACAGCTCGTCAGGTCCCAAAACCAATTTGTCTCCAGTCCTATCTAACACGCTCGCACATGTCTTCTGCATGTTCAAGAACCTTATATACAAAACCTTCTTTACCCCCTCCCTCCGACCTTTCGTAGGAAGACCCCTACCCAGCCGCCCTTCCATTCCCAAGCTAGGCTTCACACTCACATAAGAATGTTGGGACCACTATACACTCCCTCTTTGCCTTCATACATAACGTGCTTTGTCTCCACATATAGGGTATATATATATATATATATATATATATATATATATATATATATATATATATATATATATATATATATATATATATGATGGGGTCCACCTCTGGTGTAAATTGTGGGACCCATAGCCTCGGAGAAGTGGATAAAAAGGCTTCAAGGAAGAATATTTGGATTTCTTCTTTCTATATATATATATATATATATATATACCCTACAAGAATCACGCACCCAGCAGAGCTAGGTGTTTTACCGAGATCCAAGGATATACGGCGGTGTGGGTGCCTCTAACTTAGTTTCATTTTACTCCCGGTATGGTGTACTAGCCTCCACGAGCAGTATTTTATATTACTGTAACCATGAACGAGTGGTACTGAATAAATACCACTCGGTATTGAATCAATACCACTCGTTCATGGTTACAATAATATAAAATACTGCTCGTGGAGAGGAGGCTAGTTCACCAAACGGGGTGTAGAATGAAATTAGCTCTGAGGCACCCACACCGCGCTATATTCTCGGTTCTCCGTAGAACACCTAGCTCTGCTGAGTGCGTGATTCTTGTAGGATTGCGTGGTCCTATGGGTTAGAGCGTCATGTGTGATTTTCGCCCATCATGAGGTGGCCAAAACAACATGGGTTCGAATCCTCGGCTAGTCGCAGTGTTGTTATTGATATATACATACATATTTAAGACTGTCAAGATTTAAAGTTACGTCCGTGGGTAATTAAGTAATTAAGTTACGTCCGTGGGTAATTAGGTAATTAGGTTACGTCCGTGGGTAATTAAGTACAAGCTTCGCTGAGGCTAATTTGTGCAGGTTATGCTAGATTTAAAAACATTTTATAATTAAATTAGTAAGAGCCAACTGCCGTCAACAACAATCATGTGTCTTGAAGGTACATTAGACTATCCAAGTCACAATTAGTTAACCAATCTAACCTGATAATGGTCTTGGTTCAGAGCGAGTAGAAACTGTGTATTTTAACGCCTTGATATCTTGCGTTCACATCTAAATGGTGCTGTAGAATGTTTTGTGACGCTGTTTTGTTAGCCCCCAGCTGTCTGTGACGTAGTTGGTTACTGCTGTTAGCAGCTACTAGCAGCCCTTATACCGGAAGTTTTCGCTGTTTTATTAGCCCCCAGCTGTCTGTGAGGTAGTTGGTTACTGCTGTTAGCAGCTACTTGCAGCCCTTATACCGGAAGCTTTCGCTGTTTTGTTAGCCCCCAGCTGTCTGTGAGGTAGCTGGTTACTGCTGTTAGCAGCTACCTGCAGCCCTTATACCGGAAGCTTTCGCTGTTTTGTTAGCCCCCAGCTGTCTGTGAGGTAGTTGGTTACTGCTGTTAGCAGCTACCTGCAGCCCTTATACCGGAAGCTTTCGCTGTTTTGTTAGCCCCCAGCTGTCTGTGAGGTAGTTGGTTACTGCTGTTAGCAGCTACCTGCAGCCATTATACCGGAAGCTTTCGCTGTTTTGTTAGCCCCCAGCTGTCTGTGAGGTAGTTGGTTACTGCTGTTAGCAGCTACCTGCAGCCATTATACCGGAAGCTTTCGCTGTTTTGTTAGCCCCCAGCTGTCTGTGAGGTAGTTGGTTACTGCTGTTAGCAGCTACCTGCAGACCTTATACCGGAAGCTTTCGCTGTTTTGTTAGCCCCCAGCTGTCTGTGAGGTAGTTGGTTACTGCTGTTAGCAGCTACCTGCTGCCCTTATACCGGAAGCTTTCGCTGTTTTGTTAGCCCCCAGCTGTCTGTGACGTATTTGGTTACTGCTGTTAGCAGCTACCTGCAGCCCTTATACCGGAAGCTTTCGCTGTTTTGTCAGCCCCCAGCTGTTTGTGAGGTAGTTGGTTACTGCTGTTAGCAGCTACCTGCAACCCTTATACCGGAAGCTTTCGCTGTTTTGTCAGCCCCCAGCTGTCTGTGAGGTAGTTGGTTACTGCTGTTAGCAGCTACCTGCAACCATTATACCGGAAGCTTTCGCTGTTTTGTTAGCCCCCAGCTGTCTGTGAGGTAGTTGGTTACTGCTGTTAGCAGCTACCTGCAGCCCTTATACCGGAAGCTTTCGCTGTTTTGTTAGCCCCCAGCTGTTTGTGAGGTAGTTGGTTACTGCTGTTAGCAGCTCATTGCAGCCCTTATACCGGAAGCTTTCGCTGTTTTGTTAGCCCCCAGCTGTCTGTGAGGTAGTTGGTTACTGCTGTTAGCAGCTACCTGCAGCCATTATACCGGAAGCTTTCGCTGTTTTGTTAGCCTCCAGCTGTCTGTGAGGTAGTTGGTTACTGCTGTTAGCAGCTACCTGCAGCCATTATACCGGAAGCTTTCGCTCTTTTGTTAGCCCCCAGCTGTCTGTGAGGTAGTTGGTTACTGCTGTTAGCAGCTACCTGCAGCCCTTATACCGGAAGCTTTCGCTGTTTTGTTAGCCCCCAGCTGTTTGTGAGGTAGTTGGTTACTGCTGTTAGCAGCTACCTGCAGCCATTATACCGGAAGCTTTCGCTGTTTTGTTAGCCCCCAGCTGTTTGTGAGGTAGTTGGTTACTGCTGTTAGCAGCTACCTGCAACCCTTATACCGGAAGCTTTCGCTGTTTTGTTAGCCCCCAGCTGTCTGTGAGGTAGTTGGTTACTGCTGTTAGCAGCTACCTGCAACCATTATACCGGAAGCTTTCGCTGTTTTGTTAGCCCCCAGCTGTCTGTGAGGTAGTTGGTTACTGCTGTTAGCAGCTACCTGCAGCCCTTATACCGGAAGCTTTCGCTGTTTTGTTAGCCCCCAGCTGTCTGTGAGGTAGTTGGTTACTGCTGTTAGCAGCTACCTGCAGCCATTATACCGGAAGCTTTCGCTGTTTTGTTAGCCCCCAGCTGTCTGTGAGGTAGCTGGTTACTGCTGTTAGCAGCTACCTGCAGCCATTATACCGGAAGCTTTCGCTGTTTTGTTAGCCCCCAGCTGTTTGTGAGGTAGTTGGTTGCTGCTGTTAGCAGCTACCTGCAGCCATTATACCGGAAGCTTTCGCTGTTTTGTTAGCCCCCAGCTGTTTGTGAGGTAGTTGGTTACTGCTGTTAGCAGCTACCTGCAGCCATTATACCGGAAGCTTTCGCTGTTTTGTTAGCCCCCAGCTGTTTGTGAGGTAGTTGGTTACTGCTGTTAGCAGCTACCTGCAACCCTTATACCGGAAGCTTTCGCTGTTTTGTTAGCCCCCAGCTATCTGTGAGGTAGTTGGTTACTGCTGTTAGCAGCTACCTGCAGCCCTTATACCGGAAGCTTTCGCTGTTCATATTGACTAAGAAAGTAAATAAATTAGAAAATTAAAAGAACCTATTATCATTAATGTGAGTAAAAAAATGACAGTTATATGGAGCAAATCGTAGTAATAAGACGTGAAGGGAGAGTAAATGTACTTTGTGAAGCTTTAAATTAATTATTTTTGGTAAATATGCATGGAGAAAAATAAATCCACAAAGAGATAGACATA